AGGAGGAGGAGAGAAGGAGGACGAAAGACGAGGAGGAGGAGGAGGAGGAGGAGGAGGAGGAGGAGGAGGAGGAGGAGGAGGAGGAGGAGGAGGAGGAGGAGGAGGAGGAGGAGGAGGAGGAGGAGGAGGAGGAGGAGGAGGAGGAGGAGGAGGAGGAGGAGGAGGAGGAGGAGGAGGAGGAGGAGGAGGAGGAGGAGGAGGAGGAGGGAGGAGGGGAGGAGGAGGAGGAGGAGGAGGAGGAGGAGGAGGAGAGGAGGAGGAGGAGGAGGAGGAGGAAGAGGAGGAGGAGGAGGAGGAGGAGGAGATGGGAGACCACGGGAGACGGCGGGGGACAGAACGGGAGACCACGGGAGGACAACGACGCCCGGCCAGTTCTGGAGCCGGGTCCATCCATGCTCGGCTTCTCAGAAGCGACCCAAGAGATCTTCCCCAAGCAGTGCTTGCACTGGAGGGGTCCTCGCGGAAGTTGATGGGTTCGGCGAGAATTTCCCGCCGATTTTGGTAGCAGGCTGGGTTCCTGGGTTCCCGGTTCCGGGTTCCCGGGTTCCCGGTTAGTGGTTCTGGGCCGATTTTGGCCGGTGATGGGTTCCTGGGCTCCCGGGTTCCCGATGGATCTCCTCAGCGAAAACCATCCATTGTTTTTTTTGTGTAGTGTATTGCAAACAAGCTGCGCAGGGAGAAGGAACACGTGAGCGCAGGGGCGGTAGCTGGTTTTCCGACCATTTTTTCCTCACGCTGCGGCGAGAGCACCATTCGGCCCTCTCCTGGGTGGCCGGATTTCCGACGAGCGAGGCGAAGACGAAGCGTGCGCCGCGCAGATGCAGCATTGCCACTCACGCGCAGTCTGTGCGGCGCTTGGGCAACGACGGTTTTTTGCCTGCTCCCATGCGACTCGGCGAGCGAAACATGGCGCCGCGTCCACGCGGGAACTCCACTTGCAGACACAGACAAAATGTGGACGGAGCTTACCTCTCTTCCTCCTCTCCCCCGTCCTCCCCCCCTAGGTGGTGACGTTAACCCGACCAGCCAACATTGACCATTGCCGCTGCGCTGCGTGGGAGATGCAACGGCTCGTCGCTGGGTGCGGGGATAGCCCCTGCGGAAGAAAGAAATCGGACGGAGCTTGAGCGAGGACGACAAGTCGCCCTCCTGCGCGCGTTCCCGCCCCCAACGATCCGGCGAGCGAAAGATGTGCGCCGCGCCCAGCGCTCCCTGGCCCCTCCCTCCCTCCCCTTCGCTCCCTTTTCATCCGCCGCGCTCACGTCTTCGCTCCAATTTTTTAGGGAAGTGGCGATGACGGCCCTGTTGCGCAGGACAGCTTTCAGGCGATCGCAAACATGGATTACTGGGGCGTGGATTAGCGACGGGTCCCGTTTCCACGGGAAATCGCGGATTTCCGCCGCCTGAAGAGGCGGCACCAGCCGCATTAGGGGGAGGGCACCTCCGCCGGTCTATGGATTTGGCGACCGCGCGCCAAATCCATGGATCGCTAATCCATGTTTGCGCGCCCCGACCCCGCAGCCACATCTCTGACGTCGACGTCGTTATCGCTGCGCTGATGGAGAAACCAGCGCTGGCGCATGTTGATATAGACGCGGGCGCGTGCCTGCGACTGGCGGCAGGAAGGCTCGCGCGCGTGGTCCCAATTCAGACGGCGTGGCGGCAGGGGAAGCACACGAGCCACGCACGGGTGGGAACGGAAGGTTTTGTTGTGCGATGCGCTTCGGCGAGAGCATCATTTAGCTTTTTTTGGCGCGGCCAAGTCTTCGACAAGAGGTACGGTAGGTTCGCGTCGTGTCGACTAGCGGCGACCCTAGCGCGGGCGTTTAAGGTTGAACACCGCTCGTGGCCCAGAATCGGCCCATCTCTGAACGTTTTGGCGTTTCTGCAACAGCCGATCGGTGAAGTTTGAACGATCACCGCAGTGTCACGAACCAATGCTGGGGTCGTCACGACACGAACCTGCCGTGCGGAGACACAGCGCGCGCCGCGCCAAAGCAGCACTTCGCTCTCTCGCGAGCGCTGTGCGGCGCGCTGGCGGGAACGCTTGTCGCCCGCCCGCGAGCGGCTCTGCTGCCGCTCCCTGGCGACTTGGCGGCCGAAGCACGTACGCCGCGCCCAACACGGGAATGTCACGTTATGCGACATCTGCGCGAAGCCTGGGCGAGGCCTTTGATCATCAGCACAGATGTGGAGCACCAGGAAAGTACCGACACTTGAGGGCTTTCGCGTGTCGGGCCCCTGGGAGGCGAGACTCGTTCGATACTATTTCGATACTTTTCGGGGTGCTCGAAACTATTGCGAAGGCCTTACGGCCGGTGCCGCCGACCCTGCAGACGGAGACGACGAGCAGAGCAAGGACGTTGAGGAGCAGGAGGCGGAGGACGTCAGGGAGCAGGAGGGAGGAGGAGGAGGAGGAGGAGCAGGAGGAGGAGGAAGAGGAGGAGGAGGGGAACAGGAGGAGGAGGAGGAGGAGGAGGAGGAGGAAACTATTTCTGGGATCCGGTCCTTGAGCACGACGGGAGCATCATAGGGCGAGGCCGACAATTCGATCCCGCTCGCGCGCGGCCCCGCTCTCTCGCGAGAGCTCTGCGCGGTGTGCGGGCCGAGCCCGCACTTAGCACGCTCGCGCGCGACGGGGTTGCAAAAGGTGCGCCGCGCCCCAGCGCGGCGCCGAGGCGTGAACGGCGTTGTGCTGTTTCGCGCGCGATGTGCGCCGCGTCCCACTCCTGCCACGCATTCGTACCGCCGACGAGGAAACGTCAACGCTGAAAACAAGGGCGTAGACTTGGACCTCCCCTAGAGGAGCGATGACGCAAGGGGTCCGAGTTGCATTTCGGAGCCCGGCATTTATGGAACAGTCTGCCGTCAGAGTGCTGCGCCGTGCACGTGCCATGCCCTGCCGTGCTTAGACTTACACTGCGGAAGATGTGCCGCCCCGTGACGTGCCGTTCCAGATTTGAGAATGCAGAACATGCACCGTTTGCTGTGCCGCATGCGAAGGATGCGCCGTGCCGTGCCAAAGCTTGAAACTGCAGGGCAGGGCCGTTCGTGGCCCGCGTGCCGTGCCTTGCTGTGCCGAGGGCTCAGGGAGCGGGCAACGTGGCGTGCCGTGCTTTTTCCCGCGTGCCGGGAGCGTGCTGTGCCAGTCTGCTGTGCCGTGCGCGTGCCGCGCCGTGCCTGGGCTGCAGAGTGCGCAAGGTGTGCTGGGCGCGTGCCGTGCCGTGCCCGCGTGCCGTGCCGTGCCCGCGCACCGTGCCGTGCGCCGGCCGCGCCCGAGCGTGAGCTGGAGTGCGGAAGCCGTGCCGTGCCGTGCCGTGCCGTGCCCGCGTGCCGTGCCGTGCCCGAGGTCCGGGGTGCGAGCCAGGCGCCGTGCGGTGCCCGCGGTCCGTGCCGTGCGCGGGCCGTCCTGCGCCCACGTGCCGGGCCGTGCGCCGTGCCGCGGTCTGTGCCGTGCCCGCGTGCCCTGCCAGGCGCGGGCCGTGCCCGAGCGCCAGGAGTGCGGAGCACGTGGCGTGCCGTGGCGTGCCCGAGGTTCGGCGGAGTAGGCAGGGGCGCCGCGCCGTGCCGTGCTGTGCCCGCGTGCCGTGGCCGCCTGCCGTGCGCGTGGCGCGTGCTGTGCCGTGCCTGGGCTGTGGAGTTCGAGACCTGTGCCGTGCCGTGCCGTGCCTGATGTTAGGACGCGGAGGCCGTTCGGGGACCTCGAGTGAGCCGGAACTCGGGCCTGCCGGCTCTCTCTCTTTCCGTGACGAGCGGGCCCTGGATGTGGACGCTCCCGGTGCCGCGGGGCGTCTGCTCTCAGGCGGGGTCTCGTCGTTTTTGCCACGGCCCCTGGCGGGCCAGCCCGCGCCCCCCGTGCCCGAGCCTCTTGCGTCTCCCCGAGGCGCGTCGTGCCGTGCGCGGGGCGTGCCGTGCCCTGCCGCGCCGTGCCTCGCCGTGCCTCGCCGTGCCGTGCCGTGCCCGGCGTCTGCAGGCGCGCCCCGGGCGTCTGCTCCCGCAGCGCTGCTGTTCGGGGCGGGCACCGAGCTGCAGCCGAGGCGCACGATAAATTGGCGCGGTACGGATGCAGGGGCCTCCTATTCCCCTCCTCCTCCTCCTCCACCACCTCCTCCTCCTCTTCTTCTTCTTCTTCTTGTGGGGTCTCCCGTGCTGGCGTGGTGCGGTTTCGGCGGGCAGGAGGGGAGCGCTCGGGCCCGGGGATCTGGCCCCCATCGGCCGGCTAAGTTCCGGGGGGCGAGGGCGTGGGCGAGGATCGGTACACGATCGGAGCGGGTCCGACAGCAGTGCCTGCCCACTCTGAACAGGAGTCGCTGTCGGTGTCGCCGCGAGCGTTGTCCAGTTGAGACAAAATGCCGCCTGCCCAACACGGGCCGCGGTCGGATCTGGACAGCGTTTGGTGCTGGGCATTGCGCCCATTTCTTCCCGTACAACGTTCGGGGGTGCCAAGGAGGGAGGCGGAGGAGGCGGAGGGAGACCTGCAATGTCCAGATTTTTCGTACATGTGGTCAGAAGTCCCGGCTGTTTTCCCAGGACAGGTTTTTGATCCCGAGTCCTCCTTGGACGGTCCCGTGGCCCGGCGAGGGCTTCCATTGGCGGCGGGCACACGAGGGTAAGGGGAGGGGGAAGGCTTCCTAGACGGAGGCTGCTTCTTAGAAGGCGCATGCCCTGCATCTATAGACAAGGCCTGCCACTTCTAAGAAGCAGGGGTGCTTCTAAGAGGCCTTACCCCCTCCCCCTATACCCCCCTCCGCGCGTTGCCGACCACAGAGGCAGACAACTCAGAGTAACCCTCCCGCCCTGCTTTTTTCCAGGGCGCGAGCATGTCTGGGCAGATCTCCGCGAGGAGGTCCAGGCCTGTGCCCACTCGCAAAGACGGCCGGAACACACGCGTGTGCCTGCCCCGGTGTGGAGGATCGTGGCTCCTCCTCGGCGGATCCGGGCCGCCGCCGAGCAGCCACTCGGTGGGCCGTGGGGCGCGCTCGTCTCCGTGCCGCGCAGAGGCGGGCCTCGTGCCGCTCTACCTCTGCTACAAGTACCGCTGCAACCGGTGCTACGAGCAGGCGCGGCCCCCCGGGAGGGCCCGCGCTCTCCGCGGCCCTCGCGGGCATGAGGCGCCAAGCCCGCCCCGGGCGGGATCTCCGAGCGCATCTCGCCCGCACGCCTCGGCGCTGCAGGTCGGTGCGGAGCCCGAGCTGCTCCGCGCCGACGCGTGGCCGACGCATCGCCGACGCATCGCCGACGCATCGGCGATGCATCGGCGATGCGGATCGGTGCGGAGCCTGGGTTTCTCCACGCCGACGCGTCCGATGCATCGCCCGCGTCGCCAACGCATCGCCGGTGCATCGCCGAGGCATCGCCGATGCAGCGGCGATGCGGTGCAATCCCCCGACGCCGTCCACTCGGGAGACCCCATCTGGGAGGCCTCTATACCGGGGCCGATGCTGATTTGTGCGGCCACGCGCACAGGGGTGACCCAGACCTCCGACGATGTGATTCTTGCAGTCTGGGCGCGTTTCCTTGAATTCGGCTCCCGGGGCCCGTCATCGGCCCCCCCGGGACCATCAGAGATATCTGGGTCGCGAAATCAATCCCAGGGAAGGGGTCGGGAGCTTTGGGGCCGCGGATTGAAGGGAGTTATCCTGGCGAAGGACCCGACCAGATACACTTGTGAGTGCCGCGTTGTGGGTGCCGCTCTCGGTGGAGCTCCCTGCGGGGACACGACCCTCGTGAGGGGTGTGCCGAAACGGGCTGGGGGACGCTTGCGGACCCTGACGCGGGGGCCTTCGGTGGAGCTCCTTATAGGGCCACGAACCATGTGAGGGGTGTGCCGAAATGGGCTGGGATACGCATGCAGACCCTGCCATGGGGCCTTCGGGGGAGCTCCCTATAGGGCCACGAACCGTGTGAGGGGTGTGCCGAAATGATGGACATGCGGAGAGCAGAGGCAAGGAGGGGGAGGAGGGGGGAGGGGGCAGCGGGAGGAGGACCCAACACCACAGGATGGTTGGGAAATGTCGGAGGATCTGGGTAGGGGGAGGAGGAACGGCTTCTTAGAAGCACCCCTGCTTCTTAGAAGGCGCGGGCCGTGTGTGTGTGTGTGTGTGTGTATATATATATACACATATGTATATGTGTGTATATATATATATATATATATATATATATATATATATGAGTAGGCCGGGGGGGGCCAAAATCGGTGCTGTCATCCCCCATGGCCGCCCCCCGAACCTTCGGGGGGTCACAGACCCCCCGGGATTGCCCCGGGCCGTTTCCAAATTGCCCACGACAGGCCACGCGGGCCGTACAGATGGTCAAGAAAGCCTGAAGAGGCCCCGAAGACACCCAAGAGTGCCCCAAGAGGGCCCGTGAGGGCCCCAAGAGGGCCTCCAAGAGACAAAAATCGGCCCATTTCCTTAGTAAAACGTGCATTTTCGGCATACTCGCTGGCTTCGTCTTCACAGTGCCCCAGACGCCCCCGAGGAGCCCCAACAGAGCCCAAGAGAGACCCAAGAGGGCCCCAGACGGCCCAAAAGGGTCGTCCTGTGGGGCTGACGGAACGTCCCAAGACGGCCCAAGAGGCCCCGAAGCCGGCCCAGGAGGCCCCCAAGACGGCCTCAGGGAGGCCCAAGAGGGCCCCGTTCGAAATCATGTTCCCGGAAGCCTCTCCGGGAACATGATTTCCGGGCTCCCAGGGCCCCCTACTGGGCCCCAGGACAGCCTCAGCGAGGCCCAAGAGGGCCCGAGATGGCTTCAAGATGGCCGAAGAGGGCCCCAAGAGGGCCTTCAAGAGGCAAAAATCAGCCCGTCCCCGTAATGTCCAAAACCGGTTTAAAAAATGATGACCCCTCTCCTCCCCCCCCGGATCCCGACTGTCATTAACTCGCATCCGAATCATTATTTTTCCGAACCATCCTGTGGTGTTGGGTCCTCGTTCTGAAGAGACGGTGCCCCGCGTCTCCTCTCCTTCCTTCCTTCCTCCCTCCGCCTCCTCCCCCCCCCTCCTCCCTCCTCCCATGCCCCCTCCCTCGTCACCGCACCCATTTCGGCACACGCCTCACACGTTTCGTGGCCCCATAAGGAGCTCCACCGAAGGCCCCAGTGGCTGCGTTCGCATGGCGGCGCCGCACCCATTTCGGCACACCCCTCACACGTTTCGTGGCCCCATAGGGAGCTCCGGCGACGGCCCCAGTGGCTGCGTTCGCATGGCGGCGCCGCACCCATTTCGGCACACCCCTCACACGCTTCGTTGCCCCATATGGAGCTCCACCGAAGGCCCCAGTTGCTGCGTTGGCATGGCGGCGCCGCACCCATTTCGGCACACCCCTCACACGCTTCGTGGCCCCATAGGGAGCTCCACCGAAGGCCCCAGTGGCTGCGTTGGCATGGCGGCGCCGCACCCATTTCGGCACACCCCTCACACGTTTCGTGGCCCCATAGGGAGCTCCGACGACGGTCCCAGTGGCTGCGTTGGCATGGCGGCGCCGCACCGAAGAAGATGTTCACTATTGCGGTACTCGCAGCTGCATATGGTTGGGTCCTTCGCCACGTTAATTTCATTTGTCCCCCAGGAAAAAATCCATGGATGCCGATCGATGTCACTTGTATATACCTCGGTACCAGGGAGAATGCCGACGGGGATGTTCCCGTCTTCCGATCAGAGAATGAATTCTTACATTGGGTTTTCGCCATTGGGTTTGGAATTCAACCTCGCTCCCGTGTTATAACATCTATCAGCGGTATGCCGCCGCCGCGCGGGCGTTGGCGATTGGCATTTGTGCATTCAGTGTCGTATATCCACGCTTGGATGTTCCGATCACATAATGATTTTTTACGTTGGGTTTTCGCCATGGGATTTTAGAGTTCAACCTCGCCCCCGTTGTATAAAACCAACCTATCAGCGGCATGCCGCCGCCGCGCGCGAGCGAGTTGGCGATTGGCATTTGTGCATTCAGTGTCGCATATCCACATGGGGACGTTCCCGTCTTCCGATCAGAGAATGATTTTTTACGTTGGGTTTTCGCCATTGGGTTCTAGAGTTCAACATTGCCCCCGTCGCGTTGTATAAACATCTATCAGCGGCATGCCGCCGCCGCGCGCGCGCGTTGGCGGTTGGCGTTTGCGCATTCAGTGTCGTATATCCACATGGGGATGTTCTCGTCTTCCGATCAGAGAATGATTTTTTACATTGTTTTTTTTTCCCCCCCCCATTTGGTTTTGGAGTTCAGCATCGCTCCCGTTGCATCGAATCTATCAGCGGCATGCTGCCGCCGCGCGCGCGTTGGCGATTGTCATTTTTGCATTCAGTGTCGTATATCCACACTTGGATGTTCCCGTCTTCCGATCAGAGAAAAAGTTACATTGGGTTTTTGCCATTGGATTTTGGAGTGCAGCCTCGCTCCCGTTGTATAAAACCAACCTATCAGCGGCATGCCGCCGCCGCCGCGCGCGCGCGCGCGCGCGCGCGCGTTGGCGATTTGCATGTGTGGATTCGGTGTCGCATATCCACATGAGGATGTTCCCGTCTTCCGATCAGAGAATGATTTTTTACATCGGGTTTTCACCATTGGATTTTGGAGTGAAACATCGCCCCCGTTGTATATAATCTATCAGCGGCGTGCCGCATTTGCGTATCCAGCGCCGCTTCGCAACCCAGCCAGGGTGCGCGGTGCGCAGGGAGTGGTCCCTGAGCGCAGTCTCTATCCACGCGGGGGTCGCAGGGCGTGGCAGGCGTGGCCTGACCCCAAGAGGGGGTGCGCAGGAATCTGCCGCTGCACGCAGGGCGCCAGGGCGGTCGCGGGGACGTCTTCAGCGATCCAGTTTGCCCCGCTTCCCTTTTGTTTTCTATAGGCGCACTACAGCGCTGGGGAAAACCATTTTTTCAGCAGTCTCCCCATTTTTTTAAAAATAAAAAACAAGTGTAGCCATTAGTAAAATGTGCATCTCCAGCATACTCCCTTGCTTCGTCTTCGCAGTGCCCCAGACGCCCCCGAGGAGCCCCAAGACAGCCCAAGAGAGACCTAAGAGGGCCCAAAAGGTCGTCCTGTGGGGCTGACGGAACCCCCCAAGACGGCCCAAGAGGCCCCAAAGCCAGCCCAGGAGGCCCCCAAGACGGCCTCAGGGAGGCCCAAGACGGATTCGTTCGAAATCACGTTCCCGGAAGCCTCTCCGAGAACATGATTCCCCGGCTCCCAGGACGCCCACAGACAGCCCCCAGAGGCCCCGGACGCGCCGAACATGGCCTCAGGACGGCCGACGACGCTGCCAAAACGCCCCAAGAGCGCCTCCAGGGGCCCCTCCAAAAGGGCCCCGGGAACCGAACATCATACATTTTCCAATGGTTTTTGAAGCATTCTTGCGCTCTCCCATGTTCTGCCTCCGCACGGTCCCGGACCGCGTCAGAGGCCCTTCAGAATGCTCCAAGACGGCCGAAGAGGCGCCCAAGAAAGCCCAGAGACGGCCCAGGAGGCTCCCCAGATAAGTCAAGAGGGCTTCGAGAGCGCCCCAAGAGAGCCCCAAGAGCGACTCAAGAGGGCCCGAAGAGCGCGACCTTTCAAAGTCTCCAGCCTGCGAGGCTCCTAGGACGCCCCCGGAGGCCATCAAGAGGCTCCCAAAAAGCCCCGTGAGGCTCCCAAGAGGCCCCCCAGAAACCCCAACAGGCCCCCAAGGGCCCCCCAGGGAAGCCCCCTGCGGGCCCCCAAGACACGTCGGTAAATCGTATTTCCCAGATAGCTCTCCGGGAACATGATTCCTTGGGCTTCCGCCCGCCGCCCCAACCATGTTCCCAATAGGCTTGCCGACAAGGCCAAAAGGCGCCCCTCGGTAAGCCCCCAGAGGCCCCCCTCTTAAAGAGCCGAACAAATCATGTTCCCGGAAAGCTTCCCGGGAACATGATTCTCTATCTCGGAGTAGGCCCGGGGGGGTGGGGCGGGCCGCTGCCTGTTCCCCCCATCGGTGCCCACCGGGGGTTGCGTGGGGGGGTCCAGAGCTCCCGAGGCGGCCCGAGCCCGCTCCGCAGCAGGCCACGAGAGGCTAATGGAGGTCCCGAGAGGGCCCTAGACGGTCCCAAGAGGCCCCGAAGACGCCTAAGCCCTCAAGACTGCCGACGAGGACTCCAACACGCTCCAGGACGGACTCAAGAGGCTCCCCAAGAGGGCCCTGGGAGGCAATATTCGCTTGTTTTCCAAGTGTTTTGGATTGAGGCGTTCTTGCTTCCCCCGCTTCCCAGCGCTCCCTCACGGCCTCGCTCGGAGGCCCTTCAGATCGCTCCAAGAAGGCCCACGAGGCCCCGACGAGGGCCCCAAGACGGCTCAGGCTGCTACCCAGACAACCCAAGCGTGCCCCAAGAGCGCGCCAAGAGAAGGTCCAGAGGGGTCCCGAGGTGGCCCGGGCCCGCCCCGAAGCAGGCCACGACAGGCTAATGGAGGTCCCGAGAGGGCCCTAGACGGTCCCAAGAGGCCCCGAAGACGCCCAAGCTGCCCACAAGACTGCCGACGAGGACTCCAACACGCTCCAGGACGGACTCAAGAGGCTCCCCAAGAGGGCCCTGGGAGGCAAGATTCACTAATGTTCCGATGGTTTCTGAAGGATTTAGGCGTTCTTGCTTCCCCCGCTTCCCAGCGCTCCCTCACGGCCTCGCTCGGAGGCCCTTCAGATCGCTCCAAGGCGGGCCACGAGGCCCCGAAGAGGGCCCCAAGACGGCCCAGGAGGCTCCCCAGACAACCCAACTGTGCCCCAAGAGCTCCCCAGGGCCTCTGGCCCGAGAGGCCGCCTGGAGGCCCCTGGAGGCCACCAAGAGGCTCCCACGAAGCCCCGTGAGGCGCCCAAGAGGCCCCCAGGAAGCCCCAACACACCGTAAGAAATCATGTCCCCAGAAAACCTTCTGGGGACATGGTTCATCATGGGCCCGGGAGTTCCCGGAGGCCTCCAAAGGGCCCCCAGGGAACGCCCAAGAGACCCCCCAACACACCCCAACAAACCATGTCCCCAGAAAGCCTTCCAGGGACATGGTTCATCATGGGCCCGCGAGTCTCCGGAGGCTTCGAAGTACCATCATGCTACAGGAGAGCTGTCTGGGAAGTTAATTGGGAACATGACTGATCGCCTTCTCGCGGGCCCCCGCAGATCGTTTCGCACAAAGTTGCCCCAAGTGCCTCTTGAACCGACGACGATGACGACGACGACGACGACGACGACGACGACGACGACGACGACGACGACGACGACGACGACGACGACGACGACGACGGCGCGCCCCAACAGGCGACGACGACATTACGACGACGACGACGACGACGACGACGGCACGCCCCAACAGGCTCCCCACGACGCCTCCAAACCCATGCTACCAGAAGGCCTTCTGGGAACCCGATTCATACGGCCTCCGCCCCCCTACACAACCATTTTCCTCGACGGCCTTTCGGAATGCAGATTGGCATGCGTGGACTGTGGTCCACTACTTCAGTGGAGCAATGAATTCGTCAAGGCCTGGGGCCTGCTAGAACCTGAGCGCGCGCGAAGCGCGCGCGACGGTTCTGGTGTATATATATATATATATATTTCTATGTATCGGAGTAGGCCGGGGGGGGGGCCGGGCCGGTGCCACCCTCCCCCATGGGCGCCCCCCGGGACCTTTGGGGGGTCACAGACCCCTTGGGACTGCCCCGGGCCGCTTCCAAATTGCCCACGACAGGCCACGCGGGCCGTACAGATGGTCCAGAAAGCCTCAAGAGGCCCCGAAGACGCCCACGATGGCCCCAAGACAGCCCAAGAAGCCCTTAAGCCGCCCCAAGAGGCTTCAAAGAAGCGTCCCAAGAAGCCCCGAAGCCGCCCCTCAATGATTTTTCGTTCTGCTTGTCTATGTTTTTGGTTTTGATCGCCTTTTCACATTTCCGACGCTCCAACAAGGCCCAACAGGTCCTCAAGAGCGCCCCAAGACTGCCGGGGAGGCCCCCCAGACGGCCTGAAGACGGCCCTGGACAGTCCCAAGACAGCCCAAGAGGCGCCCCCGAGGGCCTTAGAAAGCCCAAGAGGGCCCCGAGAAGGCCTCCAGAGGGGCCCACGAGGGGGAACAAAAAGTTACAATTTTACCTTCCCGCCCTGAAAGCTTAGTCGTAGTAGTCGTAGTCGTAGTCGTCGTCGTCGTCGTCGTCGTCGTCGTCGTCGTCGTCGTCGTCGTCGTCGTCGTCGTCGTCGTCGTCGTCGTCGTCGTCGTCGTCGTCGTAGTAGTAGTAGTAGTAGTAGTAGTGGTCGTCGTAGTTGTAGCAGTCGTAGTAATATTTGGGTTGACCGTCACCTTCGTGTCGCGCCTAACGTCATCTTCATATTTTCTGCTTGTATACTGCCAATATGCCAGCTTTACCAGGAAGGCAATAAACAGGGACGTTTCACAAGTGACCCTCGTGTTCATGTGATTTCGGTTGAATTTATATTGCAGTATCATTATACTGCGCATTATTGAGTCCGGGGGTATAAACTTCGCGAACATCTATTATATGTATTTATGTATATATGTATATATACATATATATATATAGATAAACATATGTATATATATATATATAGATATACATATCTATATATATATTCATTTGGTACGAGCCCGAGTCCCGCGTATTCGCAGTAAGTCAAGGTGACGGCGCGAGAGCGCGAGGATAGCCGCGCGCCTCGCGACTCGCGCGACGCGCGAAGTTGGGTGACCCAGGGTTGTTCTTTCTGGTCACGCCCCCCCCCAGCGATTTGCACCCTGCCTCGCTTGCGCACCGACATCGGAGCGTAAGCTTTATTGCCACGTTCTCGCGAAGTGGAGGCACGATGCATCTACGTGGTGCACAACCTTGGATACCAGGGGCGCCGCTTTCTTGTTGCTTCTGCTTTTGTTATCCACCTTGGGGGCACAGCAAACGCAATGAGAGTAGAACACATCACGACAATGGTGCGGCGGTGCGTAGGAGGCGGGGGGGGCGACGCAGGGATGAGGTGTCATAGAAAAGACGCCTGCTGCCGTTGCTTGCGATCCTTCCAGCAAGTTGATGCGGCGGCGTACGCGGGGAGAAGGTGGGAGGACAACGTAGCACAAGAGGAGGAGGAGGAGGAGGAGGAGGAAAGGGAGGAGGATGAGGGGGAGGAGGGCCCGAGTAAGCGCAAGATGCATCAGCGATGTTGAAAGAGGAGGAGGAGGAGGAAGAGGAGGAAGAGGAGTGAAGGGAGGAGGATGAGGGGGTGGTGGGCCGAATAACTATCAAGAAGCATCAACCATGTTGAAGTACACCTTGCGTCCCTTCTCGCTGCAAATGAGGAGAAGGAGGAGAAGGAGGAGGAGGAGGAGGAGGAGGAGGAGGGAGGAGGGAGGAGGGAGGAGGGAGGAGGGAGGAGGGAGGATGATTTATTCGTTCCAGAACGTTCCAGAAAGCCCTCGGAGCGTTCCCGAACGCTCTGGAACGGCCGCGGCGCCCCATACATCCTCCAAACCCGCCGATTCTCAGAGACCCTCGATTTACATCGGTCCGGTTTTGTCTCGATTCTGCCTTCGTCTTAGACATTGTCGGCGGCAAGCGAAGGGGGGAAGAGAGAAGAACATTGCCTTCCAGGAGGCGGCGGGTCTTCTCAGAAGCCCTCCAGCCTTCGAGGAGTTTTCTATTCCTTCGGGAAAGGCTCAGACAATTTCTCAGGAGGCTCGGGGACTTCCGAGCCCTCTGAAAAAGGCCTGCCCCTTCTCACTTCCCCCCCGCGCTGGCCGCAGATGGACGCTGGGCAGGGCATCCCACGCTCTTCTCTCCCGAGTCGCCGTGGGGGGCTGCGCGCCCCGCCTGAACAAGGCGCCCCTCGGGTGAAACAGAGAGCTTCGGGGGGGGCATCTCGGGCCTGGGCGACGGGCGCGCCACCAGGAGGCCAACACAGGAGGAACATCATTTGCACCCCTGCGTCGAGGAGCTCCTCCTCCTCCTCCTCCTCCTCCTCCTCCTCCTCCTCCTCCTCCTCCTCCTCCCCCTCCTCCTCAGCCCACGGGCCCGAGCAGATTGTCAGGGGCTGCTGCTCGCTCATGCAGTCTCGGTGCTTTTGCTCAAGAAGCTGGGGGGCAATGGTATCTGCTGCTCGAGCGCGATGAGCGTCGACATCGAGTCTCTATCCCAATGCCGCGCAGGTAGTGACCTAGAACCCAATGTCGGTGATCAACTGCGGCCGCTTGGACGACACACTCAGCGAGTTCAAAGCAGGCTGTGGTCGGATTGCAGGGATTCCCATCGCGAAGCGCAGCGTTGGAAATCTTTTTTTTCCCCGGCAGCGTACAGCAAGCGGTCAAACAAACACGTGGGAGTACGCATTGTGTTTCATCGACATCAGTTTCGGGAACCATGTCTCATATATGTATACGTACTTATATTTAATATTTACACACAGTAATATTCGAGTTCCCAGAGATCCCAGCATGCAAGGACGTGGAATAGATATTCGCACCAAGACTGACAGCCACGACGTCACGTGGATGAGTATTTCGTTCCCGCCTGAGAATACAGACAGCCACCAAAGCAGATCACCTGTTCAGCAACTTCTGGCAGGGGCTTCTCAGCGAGTTCACCCGCAAGAAGCATACCTGTGATAATGATGGTAGTGGCAAAGCCGGCAGCGTAGCAGGACCTCAAGGAGTACAATGTCACGATGACCTGTTTCGCGATCGGGGACCTATTTGTCGAGCCTGCCAATCTAACGGCTTTTATCTTCGACAAATATGGATCGACCGCAATTCGTGCGCAGTGATTGTTTTCTTTCCTCATGCTGCTGGACTAACACACCACAACGTGGGGGCAAACACATTGCGTCGGAATGCCTAGATATGCGTAACATTTGGACAGATGACATCAGGGGCTACTCTGTCGGTTTGCGTTTTGGAAAAGGCAGGACACGTATTCCAGCTCATTCAATGCTTTCGACGAGCGGACCATCGAAATGTGCAGATCAGCATGGACACCTGGCTGCAGTTCCAGCGAACTTCACCAACAATGTATGGTTTCGGGAAGGGTTGATGCAGGAAGTTGCACGCAGTGCGACTCAGGACTTGGTGTATGATCGTCTTGAGAGATGGAGCAGCAGCGACAGTAGGTGATGGCAGAGAGCTCGGTGATTGGCAATTTCTAGTTGATGCGCTCCATAATGAATCCAATTGCAGATAGAGCGCTGCAGCACTTCGCCCAAACAAGCATTGGCATACTTTGTGCATGGCAAACAACAGCGCGGCAATGACAACCTGATAGTCACGGATCTCTACGTTGGGCATTTCTTGTTCGAGTATTGGCGATGTGCTGGTTTCTATTCGAGATCTTTAAAGTGGATGCCGAGTGGCAGGGCATTTTTCCGTGCCGGCAGGTAGGTTACCAGACACATCAGGAAGGCGCAGGCAGACATACACTTGGCAATCATGAAGGCGCGCGCCAAACGTGGGCGGACAGGAGGCAGAGGCACATCAGCTGGCGCGACGATTCGCGGGAAAATGATAAGGATTCAACGGCGACGATGTTGCAGACCGTTGCTTTGATATTGGCGGAAGCAGAGGCGGAGGCACGTTTGTCGCAGGCAGGGCGTAGAAAGGGACGGGGCGCTCGCGGGGTCACAGACGCTCAGCTATTCATTCTGGCTCAGGGGTCGCGGGTCCAACCCAGCGGGCTAACAGCGAATGGGGGCCGAGTGGATCTTCCTCGTGCTGCTCGGGCTCTGGGCATAGCAAAGAACAGACGGGCCCCCCCTGTTGGGATTTTCCAGCGGAAGTATGGCGTTTTTTCTTGCTCCCCCATTTGGCGCAGTTGCTAGACATGGAGCCGGACTGGAAACACCTACCGAGCAGTTGCAGTGTGTATTTGATCGTCAACTGCAGTTTCATGACTCGGGCACGTGGCAAAGCTCTTCAGCAATGGCGTAGACAGGGGTGCGTCCGCCGCCTCCGTGGAGTTGTGGGGCGCGCGATGGGTTCATGGATGCGGCTCGCGCGGCGGCGCTTTCCATTTCGGTTTTTTAACCTAACAGCGAAGACTGACAGGTTTCTAGTAGTGTCAAAAGAAAGCATCTTGACTCCCCAGGGGGGTCTGGGCGGGTGCCGGGGAGAACCCGCGGAAGTCGTTTGAAGCGAACAGTTACACACTTCGTGTTCTTCGAGGTCCCAGAACTCCATTCCTGGGCATGATTTTGAATGCCCGGAGCGAACTGTAGGCCACTTCGTGGTCTTCGAATTCCCAGAACTCCACTCCTGGGCCACATTCTGAATGCCCGGAGCCAACTGTAGGCCACTTCGTGCTCTTCGAGTTCCCAGAACTCCATTCCCGGGCAACGTTTTGAATGCCGCGAGCCAACTCTAGGCCACTTCGTGATCTTCGAGTTCCCAGAATTTTTCTTGGGTATGATATTGAATGCCCGGAGCGAACTGTAGGCCACTTCGTGGTCTTCGGGTCCCCAGATTTTCATTATTGGGTATAATTTTGAATGCCCGGAGCGAACTGTAGGCCACTTCGTGGTCTTCGAGTTCCCAGAATTTCATTCCTGGGCATGATTTTGGATGCCCGGAGCCAACTGCAGGCCACTTCGTGTTCTTCAAGTTCCCAGAACTCCATTCCCGGGCCACATTTTGAATGCCGAGGCTGAGGCTGAGGCTGAGGCTGATGCAGGCTGAGGCTGAGGCAGGCTGAGGCTGAGGCTGAGGCTGAAGGCAGACTGAAGCTGAGGCTGAAGCAGGCTGAGGCTGAGGCTGAGGCTGAGGCTGATGCAGGCTGATGCTCAGGCAGGCCGAGGCTGAGGCTCAGGCTGATGCAGGCTGAGGCTGAGGCCGAGGCTGAAGGCAGACTGAGGCTGAGGCTGAAGCAGGCTGAGGCTGAGGTTGAGGCAGGCTGAGGCTGAGGCTGAGGCAGGCTGATGCTGAGGCAGGCTGAGGCTGAGGCTGAGGCTGATGCAGGCTGAGGCTGAGGCAGGCTGAGGCTGAGGCCGAGGCTGAAGGCAGACTGAGGCTGAGGCAGAAGCAGGCTGAGGCTGAGGCTGAGGCAGGCTGAGGCTGAGGCTGAGGCAGGCTGAGGCTGAGGCAGGCTGAGGCTGAGGCTGAGGCTGAGGCTGAGGCTGAGGCTGAGGCTGAGGCAGGCTGAGGCTGAGGCCGAGGCTGAAGGCAGACTGAGGCTGAGGCTGAAGCAGGCTGCGACTGAGGCTGACGCAGGCTGAGGCTGAGGCTGAGGCAGGCTGATGCTGAGGCAGGCTGAGGCTCTGGCTGAGGCTGATGCAGGCTGAGGCTGAGGCAGGCAGAGGCTGAGGCCGAGGCTGAAGGCAGACTGAGGCTGAGGCTGAAGCAGGCTGAGGGTAAGGCAGGCTGAGGCTGAGGCTGAGGCAGGCTGAGGCTGAGGCAGGCTGAGGCTCTGGCTGCGGCTGATGCAGGGTGAGGCTGAGGCAGGCTGAGGCTGAGGCCGAGGCTGAAGGCCGAGGCTGAAGGCAGACTGAGGCTGAGGCTGAAGCAAGCTGAGGGTGAGGCCGAGGCAGGCTGAGGCTGAGGCTGAGGCAGGCTGAGGCTGAGGCTGTGATTGCGACTGCCTTTGCCGCTGCGACTGTCATCGCGAATGCGACTGCGACTGCGAGAACAGCAGAATTCTACAACTGGATTCTCATCTGGATCTTAAGGGGAATGCTTCCAGATATGCTCCTACACATCGCTGTTCGGTTGCTTTGCCGGGATTTTTGTTTCGAACCAGCCTTCGGCTATTATTTGCTTCGTGCATATCGCATGCCGGGTCGGTGGTGCGAAGATGCCATGGCGGCTGCAGCGATCGGGATGGATGGGTTCGCGAATCAAAAGTCGAATGTCGCTCTGAACTTCGACGCGGTCAACGCTTTAATTGTGCGAAGCACGGCGCGATCGTCCTCCTTTGCCAGTTCGCAAGGCGACGCTGATTTGTCGGGCGGTCGCGCAGGTGGATGCGTCGCCGAGTTCGAGGCGACCGATGGTCGAGGTGATGTGCGCCGTGGGGGTGGCGCGACACAGGGCAGCTCTTTGAATTGATAGGTTTCTAGTAGTGTCAAAAGAGAGCATCTTGACTCCCCAGAGGGGGTCTGGGCGAGTGCCGGGGAGAACCCGCGGAAGTCGTTTGAAGCAAACAGTTACACCTTTCGTGTTCTTCGAGGTCCCAGAACTCCATTCCCGGGCCACATTCTGAATGCCCGGAGCCAACTGTAAGCCACTTCGTGCTCTTCGACTTCCCAGAATTCCATTCCTGGGCCACATTTTGAATGCCCGGAGCGAACTGTCGGCCACTTCGTGCTCTTCGAGTTCCCAGAACTCCATTCCCGGGCCGCATTTTGAATGCCCGGAGCCAACTGTAGGTCACTTCGTGCTCTTCGAGTTCCCAGAACTCCATTCCCGGGCAACGTTTTTACTGCCCGGAGCCATCTGTAGGCCACTTCGTGTTCTTCAAGTTCCCAGAATTCCATTCCCGGGCAAAATTTTCAATGCCCGGAGCCAACTGAGGAGCAGGGGCAAGAGCACGAGGAGGAGGAGGACGAGCAAGACGAGGAGGACGAGGACGAGCACGAGGAGGAGGAGGAGGAGGAACAGGAAAAGGAGGACGAGCAGGAGGAGGAGGCCGAGGACTCCTACATGCGAGGACGAGCAGGAGGACGAGCGACTGCGAGGGCACCATAATTCCACATTAGGACTCCTAGGTGAATCTCAAGGGCAATGCTTCCAGATATGCTTCTACACATCTCTGTTAGGTTGCTTTGCCGGGATAATTGGCAAAGCGGCGCGGTGCGTGAATCGGCGAATGGCGGGCTGGTGCGTTGGGCCTTCGCTGCAGGTGCCCTCGTTTACTGGCGACCATCCTGAGTTGTTCGATCTTTTGGTTTGTGGACAACGTCAGGCACATTATTTGCGTGAGCATTTCGGCTGGCGTGCGGGGCGAGACCTCCCGATGCGTGGAAACGATGCCAGAACGCTTCATGGGGGAAGTTGCGCTCAGAGCACGAGGAAAACCAGAAGGCGCTCGTTTTTTTCCCGAAATAAAGGGACATAGCCCAAGAGGTATACAGAGGCGGTTTTATGAGCAAAGGATGCCGGGTCAAGTCCTGTGTGGAACGCGTTATCTGGGGCCCGCGATGAATTGCAGAGGGTTCGCTGGGGTCGAGCTTCAACGACGACGGCTGGCGCGCAAAAAAAGAAGAAGAAGTTGGCGCATGTTCCACAAGTTCTGTTTCGGCAGAGTTTGTCGTGACTTCCAGGTCATTCGATTCCGCGTGCTGTGTTTCTTGTTTGATGTCTGCCGTGCTGGGGCTTCCCTTCAGCGAGGGTGGCGCGGCTGTACTCGACGAGGCCCCGATGTGGTAATATTGTCGCGTGCTGATGATGGGCCCCGCGGCCGAGGCCCCGAGGCCGCGCTCCTCCAGGACGGCGCGGGGGAGAAAGCCGGCGTCTCGACTGCCCGAGTATCGCAGCTGCCCCGACTGGTGTCGGTCTCGTTGGGGCTCAGAATCTAAAGACTTTGGCGGTGCCAGGCGACGTTCAGGGCGCCAGAGAAAAAGCGGGCGGTGCCCTGCCATCATCGTGGCACCCCAGATGCCTTTTGAGCGGGGCCCTGTTGGCCGCGCCCGGCTCGGCTCGCCTGCGTTTGTTGGTGGCGGGAATGATCGGGGATCTGGCGTGCTTGTCCGTGCTCGCGGAGGGGCCTTCCTCGCGGAGGGATATGAGGGCATCCCCCAGAACCGCCATGTGGATTGGGACTTGCTAGCCCGGTTTCTGGAAATCGATGTCCCAGAGCTCAGGGCGCATGTCCCACTGTCGCCGTCCCCCCCCCAGACTTCCAGACAGCCCCGCGGGCCCCTCAAGCTGAGCGCCCGCGTGGGCGAACCCGTCGATTCGGCGACGTCCTGGCCCGCGGGCAGGAGCGCGGGGGGACCTGTGAGGCCCTTCGAGCCCTGCGTGCACATCGACCACGCGCTAGTCGTTTTGAAAGGTGATTTACAGATTGAGCGTTTTATTCAAGGCAGCACGTGCCCGTGGATTTCGTCGGTTTTTAGTAGCGGTGATTTTTTCCCTGACGTGCGATATGCCTTGTTGCAGAATCGGCGTCTAGCGGATCATGCGATCGCAATGCGCGCATGATGGAGCGGATATTGCATGCCCCCCTTGTGCGAGCGGATTTACAAATCAACGACATTATGCCATGTGCACTTGCAAACGCATGTGCCAGGGCCAAGTGATATTCACCTTCTGCCCGTTCGGGGCTCGAGATTGCGCCGTCGCTTGCTGCCGGATCTGCGCGCCCACCTTCTCGCGCGCCGAAGAGGGCGCGCCGCTCGAGCGCGGACTCGGGCCCCCCGCGCGGCTGCAGAGACGGGGCGAGCCTCTCGGCAAGGCCTGCCGACAAAGACAAGGGGGCAAAACGCTGAAGGACATGCTGGCTCCAGTGGCGAAGCTAGGTCCGGTGGCAGAGTGTCGGGCGCGAGTTGCTTGCGCGTCTGCCCGCGGGGCCGCGCTGGCGACGCCGTCGGGCCCGGGCGCGGGCCGCTCGCGTGCCCAGCGGGCGCCGAGGATTGCGATGGGCGGGCGCGAGGTCCAGCTGGGGTTTCCTCGCGAGCTGGTCTCCTAAGCGATGGTGGGTGCAGCGGGGGCGCGGGGGGCGCAGCTCTGCGCGCGGCCAGGCGGGATTTCGACAGGTAGTCGGACCGCCGCAGGCAGGCCCGAGAGACAGATGGAGCTCAGGCCTTCCGCCTGGCCCCGCGGCGAGTACTGCTGCCGCAGAAGACCAGCGCTCGCGATTGCGCGAAGCAGGAAGTCAAAACGCAGCGTCAGACCCTGGCCTGGACCTCGTGGGAGCACGCGAAGATGGTGTTCAAGAGCGGAGGTCGAGCGATTCAATGCCGCATGGCGCCGCATTCGGACATTGCGCGTCGGGTGCATCAGATTGTAGGGGAGCTTGGAGAAAGCCGCGCGCGCGAAGAGCGGCATCGGCGAGTGCAGTGTCGTCCGCTCCAGGTTCTCTTTGACTCCTACTGGATGCAGCTGAAGGGCTTCCTTAGAGGATCTGAGGCCGCCGCTCCTTTTGCCGCTCCGTTTGCCTTTCCTTCCCTTTCCTCCTCTTCCTCCTCTCCTCCTCCTCCTCCTCCGCTTCCTCCTCCTCCTCCACCAAAAGAGGTAATCTATCTCGATGGACATGCTCGGGTGCGTAGTGCCCAGAGTAGAAGTGAGATAATTCGTCGTCGCGGGTGATGGCGGCTCCGCGGAGGCGACCCAACAGGGGGGGATACCTTCGCGGTCATGCCCCCCTTTCGGAGGTCTTTGTGGGCTGTCCTCACCTGCTTCCCCGAGCAGGTAGGGACGCGAGGCGATGTCCGTGCACTGCCTTTTGGCCTCCTGCGGTCCATCGGCCTGGTGGGGGGTTCGGATTTTTGGGTCGGTGGATTCATTGGCCTCGTAACTCTGTTTTCGAGTGTGCCGAACTCCAACCGATTTTGTGCACGTCTTCGTCCACTCGGAATTCAAGCGCACGTTACATAGCGCGGTGAATCAGCAAAACACACTGGACCATGAGGGATATTCACTCATTCATTCATTCGCCCTTTCTCCTGCTCCTGCGACTGCTCCTTCTCCTCCTTTGCCTCCTCCTCCTCCTCCTCCGCCGCCTCCTCCGCCTCCCAACCCTATTCCTCCTCCTCCTTTTGCTATCTCCTCCTCTTGCTCCTCCTCCTCGTGCTCCTCCTCCTCTTCCGCCCCGCAGCCTCCGCCAGGCAGTATCACGGCGTCAATTCGTGCAACTTTTTTGGAGTGGACCAGAAGGCGGCCCACGTGCCGGGCCTAGCCAGCAGCCAGGGGGAACGTCTCGCTTCCATCCTCCGCCCTCTGCCGTCTTCGTGCTTCCTCCTCTTTCATCCTCCTCTTCCATCCCCCTGCTCCTCCTCCGTTCTCCCCCGTCCTTGCCCCCACCCCTCCTCTTCAATCCTTCTGCTCCTCCTCCTCCTCTTCTTCCTCCTCCTCTTCCTTCTCCCTTTCCTCCTCCCCCATCCGCCCTTTCTCCTCTTCCCTTTCCTCCCATTACTCCCCCTCGTCCTCCTCTTCCTTCCTTCTCCTCCTCCTCCTCCTCCTTCCTTCCTCCTCCCAGCCCCGCTACCGGGCACTTCGGCAGCGCGCGGGATGCGTGGCAGGAAGGCGGCGGGAGAGCGCCACCGCACCGCCTTCGCGCGGGACGGCGCAGATCGGGGTCAGGTGGCTGAAGGGCGCTGCCTCCCCGCACCGATCGGGGTCTCTGGCAGAGACCAACGACGCGAGCCTGCCGAAAGCGGACGCCCAGGGGGCGGCCTGGCCGACGCCCCGGGGGGGGGCGCCTGCAGCGGCATCGGACGACGGCACCGACGGAGTTCCGGTCGGTGGCGGTGGCGACGGTTGTGGGCGGTGGTGGTGCGATTGGTGTCGTGGGTACGGGTGTGGATGAACATGATAATGGGGAAGGTCATGGTGCTTACGGTGACGCTGATGGCGACGAGCGACGATCACGATGGGATCTTTGTCAGTTGTGTTTCTGTAAATGATGATGATGATGTTGATGTTGATGATGATGATGATGATGATGATGATGATGATGATGATGATGATGACGGTGATGGTGCTGGTGCTGATGCTGATGCTGATGATGATTATGATGATGGTGATGGTGCTGGTGCTGAGGATGACTATGATGCTGATGACGATGATGCTGATGCTGATGCTGATGCCGATGTTTGCGAAAATGCTGAACATGAAGATGCTGCTGTCGACAGTTGAGTTTGACGATGATGATGATGATGCTGATGATGATGATGGTGGTGGAGATGATGATCATGAGGCTGATGCTGATGATGATACTGATGCTGATGATGTTGATGATGGCGGTGGTGATGATGATGAAATTGATGATCACGGTGATGATGGTGGTGGTGATGATTGTGATGTCGGTGATGCTGCTAATGATGTTGCTGATGATGCTGCTGATCATGTTGCTGCTGATGCTGATGATGATGATCATGATGCTGATCCTTATGCTGATGCTGAAGTTCATGATGACGATGGTAATGGTGGTGGTGATGATGATATTTGTGCTGCTGCTGATGTTGATGATGATGCTAAAGTCGATGATGATGATGATGATGATGATGATGGTGATGATGATGATGATGAGTATGATGATGCTGATGATGATGATGATGATGGTGATTCGGAGGGTGGCGACGACGACGATGAGGATGATGATGATGATGATGAGCATGATGATGCTGTTGTTGATGATGATGATGATGATTCTGATGATGGTGCTCATGCTGCTGTCGACGACGATGATGCTGATGATGATGCTGATTATGATGCTGCTGATGATGTTGATGCTAGTTGTTCTGGTGATGAATACTGGTAATGATGATGGTTATGATGATGCTGATGGTAATGCTGCTGCTGCTGATGATGATGACGAAGGTGATGGTGATAGTGATGCTGATGTTGATGGTGATGTTGTTGTTGATGATGATGGTTATGGTGATGCTGATGAAGATGCTGATGCTGATGCCGATGATGATGATGATGATGATGATGATGATGATGATGGTGGTGGTGGTGGTGGTGGTGATAATGATGATGATGATGATGATGATGATGATGATGATGATGATGATGATGATGATGATGATGATGATGATGATGATCATGATGATGATCATGATGATGATGATTGGGGAGGAGGGGGATGTGGAGGTGGAGTCGGATGAGGAGGAGGAGGAGGAGGAGGAGGAGCTGGAGCAGCGAGTTGCAAGGGGCGAGGCGCGAGGAGCCATCAGGCGTTGGAGGATACTGATACGGAGGATGCGGAGGATGAGGATGACGAGGATGAGCAGGATGAGGATGATGATGCTGATGGGGTCATATTGCGTTGGAGGGTCGAGATGACGATGCTGATGCTGATGCTGATGCTGACGCGGATGATGTGGATGATGATGATGATGATGATGATGATGATGATGATGATGATGATCATGATGATGATGATGATGATGATGATGCTGATGATGGTGATGATAATGTTGACGAGCATGACGTCGCGGATGATGCTGCTGCTGATGATGACGTCGAGGATGACGATGAGGATTCTGCCGATGATGCGGATGAGGATGAGGATGAGGATTAAGATAGGGATGAGGATGAGGATGAGGACGAGGATGATGATGGTGATGATGATGCTGATGCTGCTGATCATGATGCTGATGGTGACGATGTCTATAATGCTGCTGCTGATGGTGATGACGCTTACGAGGATTGCGACAAGACCGTCTTCGACACAGTGGGGCACGAACTTATTTGCGATGCCAGGGGGTGAGCGCACGTGTCGCGTGGTTGCATATCCGGGAGCTCTCACACATGTAGGCTTGCATCAATCTTCCTATGGTTGGGCGTACCGAGTTTTTCCCTTTCGGAAAAGGCGGTAAGCAAGGCGGGATAGAGACGCCATATGATTTTCGCACAGTTTTGGAGTACCTCTTGGAACCAGTCGTAGATCAATGGCGCGGCTTGGGATACGGATTTGTCTTCGACGAAGTGCCAGACGAGGAGGGTCAGATTATTACGCGCTCCATTTGGGCGAACAACATTATCCTTTTGCCAGTGGCCTCGATCAGATGCAGCTGATGGTTAATGGCGTGACACAACATATCCGGACACGTGGTAGGACCGACTTTGGTGAAGCTTACTTTTCATGGAAGCCAGAATCATTGGAATCTATGGTGTGTGGAACCGCGTCTGGATCGTCCACTGGTGGCTTGTATGCTCACGAAGATGGCGTGGCTCTCCGGTACCAAGAAAAGGAGAACATAAACCTTTTGGGCGCCAATATCGACAAGGAAGGCAGCACTTGGACGAGTATGCCGTACAATTCGACGCGTGCCGAACCATTATATTATGTCCACCAGCACCTTTTCAAGAGCAAAGCTGCTCCGATGCAGTCGAGGCTTCGGGCATGGCGGGACACGGCGGGGAAGTCAGCAACGCACGCCTCAGAAACGTGGCATTGACTTTGAGCATCTTACAACATCTGCAGACGTGGGAGATGCAAGTGTTACGACGGGCTCTTCGGCTCCGTCGGCGGAATTCTGAAAGCATTCCATGCTACCACCTTCGAACGTCCAGACAGCTGGAGACGTGGACCCGCCGACATGGCGTGACTTTTCTCTTCCACCGGATCCTTCGATGTGTAGCATGGCGAGGCACCTCCTTCACTATTGGGAATGGTGACAATCTAACGCGGGCGCTCAAGGAGTGCAGGTGCGCCGGGTGGTGGGATACGTGCAAGGCCTTGACTTCTGAGCAGAAGAGGCGGAAATTGGGTTTGATACGTCGGAATCGTGGGCACCAGCCGCCGGACTGGGATTTTCCCTTTGTCGTTGCGTGGGGTTGCAGGTGGAGATCGGATTGCAGAGCATCTTGTAACTCTTTGTCCAAGTGGATGGCGAAGTCCTTGTTTTTGTGAAACGACTTGCATTGGCATGCAAGCTTCTTTGGCTGGCCGCTGGCGTTCTAGACGGTACCGGCCCCCGCAATATGGTTACCAAGCTGGGCGCCACATTGCGGGAGCCGCCGCCGTTACAACATAACCCCAAGGAATTCGAATGGGGTGGCTGGGGCAGGCGCCTGTGGATCCAGACAGATAACCAGCAGGTGCAAGAGATGTTCGCGGGACGGTCAGCATGCGACGATCAGACCGTACGGCCCATATGCATCCGTATTGCTAGACATTTGCGCAGTTTTTTTCGTAATGGGTGGCGTCCGCGGCAGAATACGGTTGGGTTTGCCGAGTGGGACCCCCGAGACTTCAATACGACTGCCTACCATGCCGCGAATCACGCATTGGATATTGAGCACGACTCGGAGGAGACGACCGGCACCGTGACGGGCCAAGAAACGAGTCTTCGATTGTGTGTTGATGGCGCAGTGCGTGGAGGGAAGGCGGCCGCATTGGGAATTCCCCTATACGCTTATTCTGCCAATCAACAGTACGAGAAGATCTTGCTCTATCGAGCAAGGCGTTGTGTCGCGGACGTGGGGTCCGCATTCATCATCGCGTTAATGGCGCTGGAGGCTGGTATCGCTGCTCTTCCTAGCTTTCTTCGTCTTTCTTGACTTCTGAGCCGTAGTGGGTGATCAGGATTATTCTCTTGCTCATGGTGTTGATGCTGTAGTCGATGGTGATGATGATGATGCTGATGCTGATGGTGCTGATGGTGATGATGATGACGATGATGATGATGCTGATGCTGATGGTACTGGTGATGATGGTGCTGATGATGAAAGCGATGATGATTATGATGATGGTGATGTCGATGGTGATGATGGTACTGGTGATGATGATGACGTGATGATTGTGGTGATGATGGTCGTGATGATGGTGACCAGGCTGCTGGTGATGTTAATGTTGTTGTTGGTGGTGATGACGAAAGTGATGCTGACCGTGATGATGCGGATGATGATGATGATGATGATGATGATGATGATGATGATGATGATGATGATGATGATGTGGAGGATGATATGGATGATGATGAGGAGGAGGAAGAGGAGGGGGAGGAGGAGCATGACACCGAGGATGATGATCCTGATGCTGGTAATGCTGATCATGCTGCTGATGATGACAATGATGATGGTGATGATGATGATGATGATGATGATGACGACGGTGATGATGATGCTGGTGGTAGTGATGATGGTGATGATGGTGACGATGATGGTGGTGGTGGTGGTGGTCGTAGGAGGAAAAGGAAAAGCAGGAAGGAGGA